AAATTAAATTCAGAAAATAAGAGCGTATAACAACATACAAGAACACAAAATAATGTCCAAAGTCTTAGATATTCCATAAATAACGGTAAATAGAATAATAAATGTTACGATTCCTGTCTCTTCCTAAACGGCTCGCCATGTCCAGCGACGCGTCTCCTTTATTAACCCACCTGCTGCCTCTCCTCCTCCACACCGACTCTCTCTCCATTTTCCTGTTGAAGAAGAAGACAATCACTCCTATACAAACTCCTCCTTTCATGCCACTTTTTCCTCATTAAATAACACCCTCTCTCTCTTGCTCTACTAAGTACTTTACTGTATAGTGCCCCCCCTCTAGTTCTTTATTCTCCATTAACATTCCTTCTCTGTTCCTTTCTCTTTGTTTCATTTCCAGATCTGTCAACCAAACCCAGTAAACAAAAATCCCAAAAAACCCATCTTTGTATCTTTCCCTTTGTAGTCTCTCTTCGCGTTCTCACTAAACTTCACGAAAATGCCACGCTTCTTGGTTTCTTTTCTTCTTGTTTTTACCATTTCGGCATCTTTTTTAAGTTGTGTTACAGTTGGGGAAGTGGTAACCTGCTCGGGAATAGTACCGATGAGGATCCGGAATGACAAGATATCCATAGCTGATTTTGGTGGTGTCGGTGATGGCAAGACACTCAATACAAAGGCATTTAGAGAGGCAATTTATAGGATTCAGCATTTGAGAAGAAGAGGCGGCACCTTGCTTTATATTCCTCCCGGGGTGTATTTAACAGAAAGCTTTAATCTTACTAGCCATATGACTCTTTACTTGGCTAGAGGTGCTGTTATTAAAGCAACCCAGGTAATTAATCTTTGATTAGATCGCGTTTAAGTCTTGTTTAATTGGTCTTTACCTCTTTCTCATAATTGATGCTAATTAGGCATAGTTACTCTAGGAGTCCTGTCTTTCATGCAATTGATATTTGATGGTAGATATCATGTTTTTGCCAAATAAAAAAAAATTACTATCATTTTTAATTTGACTCGGGTTTAATGTCATTAGTTTAATTCACATGGATCAGTTTTTCGTGTGTGTCTTACTTTGTGTGACCACTCACAATATATGAATGTCGTTAACATACATTGAGTGATTATTGAAGGGATGTGATTATTAATTGGTATTGATCAATTAGATATGGGAGTAAGAATCGTGCATGCCATGATTGGGACACGAATTCATGGCCACCATTGATCTAGCGGGATCATCCAGATCAAAGGGTAGTCATGAATTCGTTGCACGAAATTCTTGCCACAATTATTTCTCATGAACTAATTACTACATGATTAAGCTGTCGATTAATGGTGGCTTTATTACTATTATCATCATCATGATCGTCGTTATTACTTGAGTGCGGGGGCGGGGTTGATTCTGAACGAGCAACTAGATTTTGAAGAGCTAAGTGAAGGGATTAGCATAAGCTGTTGCGCGTCCAGCTGTGGATAGAGAAAAGAAAATGGTGGGTCTAGTTTTGCGTATGGGTTGCATGTGCTTCCATTTATATTTGTTAAACAACTACGATGGATGGAATCTTTGGGGGCAGCCAAATAGCTGGCAAGTCATGTCATGGCTTTTTCTATGCTTAGATGTTGTTAGCTCCATAACCATAGAATGGTTGTGGATGGAGTTAATTGTTAAAAATGATAGTGACGCTGGTTGTAGCAAACAATAAAGTCACCCTCGAGGATCTTGGTAAATAATGTCACAACTAATCCAAAGTGATGTCCAGTAATTTATAGTTAACAACAAGGTGGCGTTTTTTCCTTTCCTTTCCTTTTTCTTTTTTTTTAAAAAGATAAAGGATTGCAAAGAATTGAGGAGTGTTCGAAGGTCATTAACCGCCATAAGCTATGACTGCATCACATTTTTTCCTGCCGACAGCAATGGTGGCTCTATGCTGTCCGATCCCAAATATTTAGTAATGGCTTTTTAGGAGTGTATTTGTTTGATGCACGGGAACTAATCATATAAATGGAACTCAATTCTTATACTAGAAAATTATAATGAACTGTAGAACTTGAATGCATTCCTTATAACTTATGGGAGAAAACTTTACTGCTGCTAGTCTTCTCCTTTTGGTTTGTAACCATAGTGGTTTTGATTAAAAATAAAATAAAAATGAATATAATATTCGATAGCTTGTGCTTATTGGATTTGGGATGAGAATCTGGTCTTTTTTATTTTTTATTTTTTTTATTTTTATCTTGCCTGTTTCTTCAGGATACTGGGAACTGGCCCTTAATTGCTCCTCTGCCATCTTATGGAAGAGGGAGAGAGCGCCTTGGCGGAAGGTATATAAGCTTTATTCATGGAGATGGACTTCAAGATGTCATCATCACAGGTTGGTTTCAACCGTGGCATCTAGTAGATGCCTCCTTTGTAATTTAAGCATTGTAGATTGCATTTTGATTCATGGATTTTCAGTGAGATATTTAGGTTCAGTTTTACTTTACATAGCTCCAGTGAGGTTTAAATAATCTAGGTATTCTATTGTTGTTTCAAATTCATGGATATATTGCAATCTTGTTTAAGTTTGAAGTTGAAAAGCTTAAGTAGAAGATGTATTGCACTTCGAGGGATTTGGTTGGCATATCAGCTTCAATTGTTTTTGGTGCTGCTCTCTTCTTTACAATTCTAAACTTATGCATGTAATCGGCATGATGACCTTAAATCGCTTGGTTTTGAGATGAGAATAATACACGGGGCTTACTTAGATTTTCCTGTCTTAATACCTGATGACATTGTGTTTTGTATTATATGTGTGATGCTTAAAAAGCTTCTGTATTTTAGGGGAGAATGGGACAATTGATGGCCAAGGAGATGTCTGGTGGAACATGTGGAGGCAGAGAACTCTTCTTTTTACAAGACCTAATCTCGTTGAATTTGTAAATTCAAGAGGCATAATCATTTCCAACGTGATTTTCCGCAATTCTCCCTTTTGGAACATTCACCCTGTTTATTCACGGTAATAATCGAAGATAGGTTTTTACATTTATAGTTCTTTCTTTTTAATGTTGAAGGAGTTTGACTGTGCTGGCAATGCCCTCATTGTAGATTGACATCAGCCTTAACTCTTTAACCAGTTCCAAAGTATATCTTAAAATTTTAAAGACAAGATACAATCATGTACAACTGATGCGCATGACATTCTGAATCTTTGATCATCCTGGACAGTTAATAATTACTTTTACAAGTCTTGTGGATATCCAGATGGTCCTACTAATCATCTTCAGTAGCTGAAGCTCTATCCATGTATTTGATGTAAAACTTTTGGTTTTTGGCTTTTAAGTCCATATTCAATGTGATTATTACCAAAGCAGATTTTCTTCTTTTCTGTGGTATCCAAGTTTCTCTAGAGCTCGTGACGAGCAACTGTTTAGGTGGTTGGGAATCAGTATGTGGCTGTAGAGAAGAAATTGGTGGGAGCACTCTCATACATGTCATTTTGTCAATAAACTTGAATGATGAATCGAATAGATAATTTTAGTACTGACTGCTGTTAACCTGATGGAGCTTATTTTTTGGGGTTCACAAGTTAATTTATATGATATTTCTTTGTTCTTTGCAGTAACGTTGTTATTCGATATGTTACCATCTTGGCTCCCCTGGATTCTCCCAATACCGATGGAATTGATCCAGGTACATTCTACGATCTCTTAATTATTGTTATTACTATGTAATTTGTCATGCTGCTGGTTGATGTTTTACGCACGTAGCATTTAAGCTTACCGTCACTTTTGCTTCGGGGAGATATGTACATGTACCCGTTTTAATATTGGAGCTGCAAGTTACACAAATTGGTTAGTGTAGTATGCCTTGGTTTGAGGGAAAACTACGGAGCCTGTGGAATTTTGGAGGGAAAACTGTGGAGCATAAGGAATGGAATGATGAACGTATCTCTTGAACTTTATTCTTACAATTCATCAATAATTCAACGCAGATTCAAGCTCTAACGTCTGCATAGAAGATTCATACATTTCCACTGGAGATGATCTTGTAGCTGTAAAAAGTGGATGGGATGAATACGGAATCGCTTATGGTCGCCCAAGCTCTGACATCACTATCCGGAGGATAACAGGATCATCCCCATTCGCTGGAATAGCAGTGGGAAGTGAAACCTCAGGCGGAGTGAAGAATGTCCTGGTTGAAAACATAAGCCTCTACAATATGGGAGTTGGCATACATATCAAAACAAACATTGGAAGGGGAGGATTCATAAAAAACATCAGTGTCACTGATGTGTACATGGAAAATGTGCGAAAGGGTATAAAGATAGCAGGAGATGTTGGTGACCACCCAGATGAAAGTTTCAACCCTAATGCTCTACCGGTTGTTTATGGCATCACCCTTAAAAGCATATGGGGTGAGAAGGTTCAGCACCCGGGTTCAATACAGGGCTTGAAGAACTCCCCTTTCACGGGGATTTGTCTCTCTAACATCAACCTTCATGGTGTTCCAGGGCCCCGATCCTCTCCTTGGAAATGCTCCGATGTAAGCGGATCTGCTCTCCTGGTGAGCCCATGGCCTTGTTCTGAACTGAGCAGCCCTCATCAAACTGGTTCTTGTTCTGATCACTTTTGAGATCCTCGAGTATTTCTTTCGTTTTTCTTAATGTGATGCAATAAAACTCACAAGTTGTTATTCAAAATGCTATTATTTCTACATTGATATTGCTTACAGAGTATTTCTAAAACACTACTCTCTCTTTATCTTAATGGGTCCTTTGGCTTCACCTATGGCTAAGATATTCTCCTCATGCTTTACATGCATCATCTTCTATCAAGTTTCGGTATTTGTCAGTTCCAGCACACGAAACCGTAAAAATGCTGAAAGCTATCAAAAGATTTACGGGCACGCATAGAGAACATCTCTCTCAACGTTTGCGCTATGATCAATTAAAAAGTTAAAAGAGTCTAATTGGCTAAAAAATTATGCGGCGGGTAGAGCACAAAATATAGTAAAATTCATATATCAATGGCTGCAACGCCGCCGCAGCAGCATTATTTAAAAGCTTCTACTAAAACTAAAACATGTATTCTACGATACATCTCATAGGATGCCGATGTTATTTACATTACATAACCACACCACAAAACAAAACACATAATTAAACACCCCCATAATATATTTCTAATAACATTAATACCTTCCAAATCTCCTCAAAAATTATGCTTCAAAAACTTGCGAATCCCCTCGGACAATCCCCATTCATGCCCATGCTCCTCGTGCTCGTGCCCATACCCATGCTCCTCGTGCTCGTGCTCGTGCCCATGCCCCTCATGCTCATGCCCGCGCCCGCGCCCGCGCTCCTCGTGCTCGTGCTCCTCGTGATCACGCCCACGCCCACGCCCACGCCCATGCTCCTCGTGCTCGTGCTCCTCGTGATCATGCCCATGCCCCTCGTCATCATGCTCATGCTCATGCTCCTCGTGATCGTGCTCATGCTCATGCTCCTCGTGATCATGCTCATGCTCCTCGTGATCATGGTGGTGCTTATGATGCATCTTGTGGCCCCACTCCCTCTCCTCTCCATTTGCCACGTCATCATAGAAAGAAAACTTCTGACCCCCGTGGTGAAACCTAGTCCACCTAGCAGGAATCTGCCTAACAACGCCACGTGTCGCCTGATGATCACCAAGTTCAAAACCATCATCCTTCTCACCGGATACAACCATATCATTACCGTAGAAACGCGGCTTCATCATATTGTGCCCGTGACGGCATCCGTGACGATGGCGTACCGGGAGTAACGGGCGTCGAGGCAAGAAGTGAAGGTTTGTTGGACGGAAAGTCACGACTGTTAGCGGCACCTTTTTCTCAATCGATTCCGTGTTCACCTCCGTTGATGATGATCCTGGTTCCTTTTGCTCCTCGATTTCTACATCAGCTGGATACTTTATTTCAGTTGCGGGCTCACTAGTTTCGGGTTTCTGGCTTGGGAGGAAGAGAACAGGCGTGGCTTTCGGATCGGATCTTGGTAATTCGGGTAGAGTGAAGTCCCCATCTGGTAGATCTGACGGAGTACGAGAATAAGCGACGGCGCATAGAAAGAAAAGAACGGTGACGGTGAGTTTGACGAACATTTTGAGATTAAAAGGTTACGGTCAATGCGTGGAGGTTTATATAGAGAGAGAGGGGCTAGTGGGAAAGGAGGGAAAAAGGCGGGCAGCGGGCAGGACGGTATGCCGAGCAGTGGGAATGGAGAAAGAAAGGATTCGCTTGTCGATCGGATTTGTGTGTTGAATACTTGAATTTATCAAGGGGCTGGTGCCAAGGGAAGAAGAGTAATACTTTATTTTGTTGAGAATGGTGAGAGTTGAACGATTGGGATACAGTTTGCGTGTACGAGAAATTTGTCGAGCGTTGACCAGGGTGTGCTCTCATCCAGGGTGGGTTTGTTCAGTTAATTACATTCATGCCATTGATTGTGAGAGGTGCTGTCCCGTCTACCGTTACCATACAACCAATGGGCAACGTAGTTTTACCATTCTACGTAGTTCCAAAAAAGTATTAGCAAAATATCATAGTATTGGTTGTTTTAAAATTCATGCTTTATTCACATTAATTAAAATGACAAAAATCAAACCAGGATTTTATTCAAATTTAATGGTTAAGAAATGAGATTCAAAATTCACAAAAGAAAGATGAGATAAACTAATTCAACTTGAGAAATGAAATTTTTTTGAAAAATAAGAAAAAAAATGCGTAACTGAGGAGAAGTCAATACTCCATTTTTAATACACTCATTGTTGTTATAAATATTTCAATAAGATGATTCTAATCAAATTTTAAAATATTATTAAATAAATTTATAATTAATTAAAAAATTTATTAAAAGTTATAATTTTATTTGGTGATGTTTTGATAAATAGTTTGATTCATCTTATCGATAATTTTCTAATAATATTATATATATATATATATATAATAAGAGTCCTGGTATTCCCATGATAACTCATTCCTTTTTTTTTTATAATTTTTTTTCCTATCACATCATCTCTTTTCTTCTTTCTTTCTCAGATTTTAATTCTTAATACATTTCAAAACATGACTAAGAATGATCATTATCATAAACAATAATTTTACATAAAAATAATACTAAAACACATGGTTGGATTCAAGTTTTGCTATTTTTTAAATATTTTTTAACCTATAATATTTTTATAAAAAATTTTCTAAACTATTTTATTTATTTTTAAAAAATCATATTTATAATGTCAGCTTCAACATTCAATAACTCTCAGAAGGTATAAGATAACGAGTTGGTTTGGTAATGTGATATTAAATGTTTTTTAAAATATTATTTTTTATTTAAATATTAACATATTAAAATATTTTAAAAAATTAAATTAATTGTTTTTAAAAAATACTTTTAAAATGTATAAAATCAAACTAGCACTGTACCTGAAAAGGAGAAATAGGATTACCGTCCAACAAGAGTCCAAGCAGAACGCGGGGCTGATAAAGGCGTGCAAACTGACGTCATTTCGGAATTAAAAAGGAACGCGTTAAGGTGGTCTCTTTTCAACAAAGTCCACCTGGCACAATGGGTTGCGCGTAAAGTTGGAAACTACCTTCCATGAAATTATATTGTTCATACTTCATGGTCAAGGTCCTAGTTTCGTTTAAATAGATAACATGTCTCCCTCATTTTCATATCAATTTATATATTAATCAAAATCAAAACGATCTTACGAGTATGCTTCCTTGTTAACCTATGCGTTTAAAAGTAATTTAAAAACATTCATTCAATTATTGAATCTAGAATTTAAATTTTAAATTTTTTAAAAAGTGGATTACGCATCTCTAATTACTCGATCAAATCCTTAAGTCTAGATGCATGCTATCAAAAAAACATGTATATATTTTTTAAGAGGTGGAATCATTCTAATCATTATCTTTTTTTTTTTAAATACGGCCGTAAATCTTAATGGATTAACTGGGCCAAACTAGGAGAAAAAGAAGAAGGAAAGTTGGGTTCATTTCCCAATTTAAAAAAGTGTATAACCAGGCTTGGGCCTTCTAAAAAAGTTTTGGAAAGCCCAATTAATGGGATCTGAGCATGTCCTGTTTTGCCAGTGGTTCATTTACATGTCATGCTTTGCAGAAACACCCAGTTGATCCGATCCTCCTCGAATCCTAGCTGCTCCTTGGCCCCTCCACTCTCAGATCGGACGGTCGTGCAAATATTTTTTTAATTTCCAGCCCGTAATGAATTCAGTGATAGGCAAAGACTCCATGGATCTAGCTGCACTCGATACAAGTCCACACCAATCAAATTATAAAGATGTCCCCAAAGCCATCATAGCCAATCAAAATATTAGTGACAAGATTCTATAATGTTCTCCCCAAAGCCGGTTTAACGAATCAGAACTTATTGAAGAATTTTCCTGAAGATTCAATTTTTGGAACATAAAAAGAAAACAAAGTGCCAGCACCCTAGACTCGATATTTTCTATAAAAAGAACCAATATTGTCAAACTAGTCGGAAGAGAAATCAGCTTAAACCAAAGCAAACCACACATTTTCTTCACAAACCCCTCGAAGACTCAAAAGAATGTTATCGAGAGCCTTTACCAAGCCCAAAAAGAGCCCTAAACAAGGAGATAATGAAAGCAAATCAGGGACGTCGATGCTAGATTCTGAAGATTGCCTAGTAGGGTTCATGGATGATCGGCCTTTGCTTTTTTGTGGAGAAAGTGTGTCCCGCCTGAGCTTAAGGGAGACCTTAAGGGCTTCTGTTGGTGTCATGGGAGAGAGCCCTTTAGGGATGACTGAAAAGGTGGTTTTGTTACGAGGCAAGGTTTATGCACTGAAGAGGTTTCGGGCATTGCGTGTTAGGAGGCGTGAGTTTGGTAAGACAATCGAGAGGTTAGCTCAGGCGAGCAAGAGGTGTGAATATCTTGTCCCTGTCATTGCTTACTTATACACAAAGAGGATCAAGTTTATTGTCTGTGATTATTTCCCCATGGGAAGCCTTGCTGACTTGCTCGCTGGTGAGTTTACAAACACCTTTACAATTATTCCTTTTTCTTTTCAAATTGGTTTTTCAATGCGTAATGATTGCTTGATGCCTAAAGTGATCATGTCAGGGTGATTATAAGAGAAAGTTAAGCCACACCATGATAGTGATAAATTTCATGGGAATTTTCCTTTTCTTTTCTTCTTTTTTTTTTAGAATAATCTTCATTTATCTTAATTTGATAGAAATGGGATTTTTTTTAAAACAACATCAACAGAACATTATGAAATACGATAGTTAAGACTTTACAAAAGAAAAAAAAATCATGAAGAAAAATTTTACTGCTAGAATGAAGATAGCATTTAATTTGATGCAAAATGATATTGTATATTGTCCCCCTCAGACGAAGAGTTACGATCATGCCACATGCATTAGTTCATGTATAATACTGAGATTTTATATAAAATTTTGTTTTATTAATTTGAAAGAGATAATTACTTCGGTTCAAACTTCAAAAGACTCAGGCTATTTTTGAATTGCCTAGGATAAAAATTCCTTCTGAAAAATTGGACTTGATGCTTGAAGAGTGAAATATTTGTGAACTGAATCTATTTTTATGCCCTATTTGTTGACTAATTGAGGTGGAAGGGAATGCGGTCACACTGCCTTGGATTGGAATCAAAGGCTAAGAATAGCTCTTGACATTGCACAAGCAATAACATTTATTCACACACAATACCCTCCGTATGAAAAGAACACGCTGATGAACGTGCATGGGAACATAAAATCCTCAAATGTCATGATAACTGTTAACTTCACCGCCCGCTTGTCCGATTACGGGCTCACTCAGCTGGCTGGAGAACTGGAGGAAGTTTCCGATACTTGGCAAAGAAAGCCGCCCCCCTCGCCTGAAAGTCCTTACACCAACAAATTGAGTCAGAAAAGTGATATTCTCAACTTTGGTATACTATTGCTGGACATGTTAGGAGGGCCAAGAGTTAGCGATTTCAGTAATTGCGGAATGGAAAGAATGGAAGAGATAAAGAAAGGTGATATCGAGTTTTTTGAATTTATTGTGGATGGCAAAGAAAGGAAGCAAGCTTTGCTTGTTTTGGATATTGCATTGAAATGTGCAGACAAGGTGCCGGAAGCTAGGCCTCCAATAGAACAGACCTTGAGGCGTCTTGGAGATGTACTTTTGATTAAATAGATCGAATACGTGTAATGTTTTAAAGGAAACAAATGTTTTTTTTTTTGTTTTTTCTATGAGGTTCGATTAATGCAAGCAGACTCGTTGATTGTTACGACTTAAGGTGGCAGAGGATGTCTTTATCGATTTAGAAAATAATATAAAATATATTTAAAATTTTATTTAATAATTTAAATTATTAAATTATGATAATTTTTTATATGATTTTAAAATTTTAATAATTAAATAATTATAAATTTAAAATGTATTATCTCTATTTATTTGAAAAAATAAATACAAGGTAATATAAAATTATATGAGTTTAGAATCTAAAAGATTTACATAAGAAAATAACATGAATTATATTTTAAAATCTAATCTAATAATTTAAATTATTAAATTAGATAATTATTTCATAAATTGTTATTCAAATCAAATCTCTTGCAAATGGGCTCACATTTTACTTTCTTTGTTTATGGATTTAGGAAACTGACCCCTTGTCTCTTGTTCAATGCCTAAAACAAGAAGACTACACATTATACATGCAATTCACAAAGGAAAACGAGATAAAAAAGAAGAAGAAGAGGCTTGTAACCTTAAAAAAAAAAAGATTTCATTTGTGAGAATCTGAGTTTTTTTTAAAAAAAGATTTCATTTGTGAGAATCTGAGACAAAAACCCTAACTTGTTTTCATGCATCACTGTCTGTTATTGCTACGACTCTGCCGGCTATTATGATTAAAGATACTCTCTATTGTTCCCAAAATCGATATTACATATAAAAGAAAAGGATTGACTAGATATTATTTGTAGATTTTAATCAGTATTCACATACTTGTTTCCTTATTTTAGGCGTTGTTCTTACTACAACAAGTGACCAGGTTATGTTATTAATGTAGTTTGCTTGTAATTCTAACTTCTGAAGTATATTTTTAATCTTTATATAATGTCTACTTTACTTCTACATATGTTTGATGAATATGTAAGAAAATAAAATAAAATTGTGTTTTACATATATACATGCTCATAATAAAATTACAAAAATAAAATAAAATCACTGTCTAAGCTAAAATAACAAACATTTTCTGTTGGATAGAAGATGAGACACATAATATAATAAAAAAGGAATTTGCAAGTTAGCGCTGATACAAAACCAAAGACAAAGGAATACGTCAAATACGATAGTACAATACAACAC